GTCCAGTTTGGCCGATGTACATAGCAGAGGGGCATTGCTGGCATATGATGGCATATATCACATTGGTGGACGTGCAGGTGAATGAGCCGGTGATGTTGTAGCTGATCTGGTTAGGTCCTGTGATGGTGTTGCTTTTTACAGATTCAGACTAACACGGCTACCCCTCTGATACTTGACACTTGAGGTGGGTTTTTTGGAAATCTAACTTTCTATCTATTGAAATAGTCACACAGCACGGATGCCCTGCTCGCCCTCCTGATAAGAGAGAAGCAGGGACATCTAGTGAATCCCAGAAGGCTATTTAAGGGTTTGATTGGCAGAAGTGCTGTGTACCCAAAACTCTGGCTGAGTTCAGTGGACGCTGTGGGTACTCAGCACTTACGAAAACCATGCCCCTATCCCCGGATCCTGCAAAGTGTTATTCATAGAATTCACTTTACTACCAAGTCGATGGGACTACTTACAGTGGTAAAGTTAAGCTTACCCGTAAGTGTTTGCGGGATAGTCTGTATCTCAGGGGCTTGGGCAAAGAGAATTAAAATTCACAGAGAAAGACTGATGCACGGACCCACCCCGGTTTGGGATGGGTCTGGTGTTTCTGTAGGCAGATGGCTTGCACAAAACTGACAACGGCATCAGTGATGCACCTGGCATAAGGTTAGGCTAAGAGCGCAATCTTTTTCGAGAGAAGAGAATTGCTTTTATCCCAGTGGGTAGAGTACAGATCATGAACCCACGTGCTGGGCAGAGATATGCCATCCAACCAGGCAGCACTTTTAGGAGCAGCTGATGGAGTGTGGCTAGACAGGAATTTCCTTGATGATTATCTGTTGTGGCTGAGGACTTCTCCTTGCCTTGAGGAACTGTAAGTATGAGCCTAGCTCTCGAGCCATTGATTTCAGCTGCCTTGTGCCCAGTAGTGGACCCTCACTCACACACCCTTTTCCAAACCTGCCAAATCTCCCTCTTTTACAGGGGGATTCTCGTTTAAGATACCTTCAGACTCGTCTGCATGAAGGGATTTTGCTGCAGGTTTCAGTGAGGCGTTAATATCCTTGTTCCGTTAGCGTGTCCTGCACCTTGGCATTGTCCTGTCTTACAATTAGTATAAGCTGGCTCCATGTGTCAGATGGAATGATACTGAAAGATTCCTTCCTGCCCTGATCACAGAGGGAGGGGAAGTGCTCTGTTTACATGTCTCCTTGCAACCTGCTTTCGCTCAGCCGGGTAATCTGTGTCAATGCATTTCTCCAAGGCATCAGCAGATGTCCCTCCTCGTTCACATCTCTGCCCTCCTCCTCTCCCACTTTTTACTGGGCATGCTCAGGACCACAGCCCGGATAAGGGATCCCTTTTACCCAGAAGTAGCCTCTGCTCTTCTTTGCACACGCAGCTTTTTCTGGCTTGCCTATATAAAGCCAGCGAGATCACGGGGGGGGGCTCCCTTTCTCTCCTCTCCCCTCCTTAGCCTGCTGGACTT